CCTTTTTCCCCACTCAAAAGAGTGCACCCCTAAACAAAAAAAAAAAAAAAAAAAAAAGGTGTTATGCCACGGGAGTTGTGTGTCCCCAAACAAAGATGTTTTTGCAAGGCATTGATTTCTTGGGCAGCCTTAGGAATACCTATTTCAATGCTGCATAGATATGAAGGCATCATTACAAATAAAATAAAATCAAACTACAGTTACAAAAATATGCCGGTTTTGTATCAAAAAAATATGCTTCCCACATTACAGACTAATAATGCAAGCTTTATAAACGGAAAGGAGAAGACAGATGCATGAATCTCTGGAACACCTAGCAAAGACCAGTTTAGAAGAGACTTCACTGCGAACATCCACGTTCATATCCAAAACATAAAAGTGCTGAATGGTTAATGTTTAAAGAACATCATAAAAATAGCACATAATATACCATATGTTGTACAATGGTGTGAACTTCCCCTTCACCCCAAAATATTTGCAGTGTCAATATCTAGCGAGTGTTGTATGTCATGTAGCCCCTTCATTATAACGGCTTTATAGTCCAAAGTTTTTGCATACACTGAAACAAAGCTTCAATATCTAGATATTCAGCTTTCTAGATATCTAGTCTAGTTGTGGCTAGCATCTATAAAGCCTTCTGTAGTATAATCCTAAGAACTGAGTCACCTAAAAGTGATATAATTTACCATTACAAAATTATTAAAACTAAAATTGCTAAAAAAATGTTATAAATACATACAATATCTAAGTAAAACAAGTTCAAGAAGGAGGAAAAGGTTGGTAAAATAATGTTTTAATGATTTTAAACATTATTTTGCTAAATAACCTTTATTATAGTAAACATGTTTTGGTATGTTCTAAAAGGAGTTATTCACACTTTTGAATTATTTAAACAATCAGCTTTTCACAATCAGAAGTAAAGCATTTTGCATGCGGTATGATCTATTTTGAAACATTAAAGCCTGACTGAACAGAAAGCTTGAAGTGATAACAAATTAGCACAATTAATGCAGAAGGAGAAATACATTATCAGCTAGACAGCCTGTGTCTACTTTCAAGATTTGATCAAATGCTTATCTTGTTAAAGGAAAAAAAAAAAAAAGAAAAAAAAGAGTCATTATTAGATTCTTGCATGAATCAGAATAATAATAATTAAAAAAAAAAAAAAAAAGAAGAGTTCCTCATCCCTTTGCTATGATTTTGGACGTGGGCAATGAAGTCACTGCACCCAAGTAATCAAGGAAGTGAGAAAACAGAAAGATAAATGAACAGATAGCAAGGAATCAGCTGGAGAGAGTAGGATTTATGAGGGACATGAAATGAAATTCATTTAGACCTGCTGTGCCGAAACAGCACTCTGGGACTGCAGCACTCGTCAGCCCCTGCCAAACAGAGCTTCCCACCTCTCAGACTGCCCTACCAACAGAGCTCTTCATGCAGTCGTGTTCAAAGCTGTCAGAATATCAAAACTAATTCACCTAAATTACTGATATAATTTAAAAGAAAAAAGGCTGAAGGCATTACATTGGCTTCCTAATGACATTTTAAAATCTTTAAGTTATTTATAAGAATACTTTAATATGAGCCACTGTTGTCGTCATAATCCCTCGTTAGCATATTAACTAGGTTCTGTACACTATGATGTTAGAGTCTATCATGTATTAGAGCTTGGAAACAAATAATTTATTTTCTTTTCATTTTTTGAGATTAACTGATTGTCCCAGTATTGCCTTTTTCTTCCTTTATTGATGTTTAATCTTCTTACCAATATTGTAAAGCTTTGCTACTTTGTATGTCATCTCTACGAGAGACTTTGGGCAGCTTGTTATAAGCACCAGTGCTCACCAACGGGTCTCATTCAAGGAGTACTCTCTCAAAGTACACGGGCAGCATTTTTTTTTTTCCAAAATAATAGGATGTACCAGCCTTACCCAGTCCATCTACAGGCACAAACCAGCAAATTAGTAAAGAACGTAACAAAGCTTGTAGGAGGAAAAAGTTACTTTTATTAGACCAGTTAACAAGGATGCAAAAAAAAAAAGTTTTGGAAATGGAAATTTCATAGCCAAGAGCCCCTTTGAGGCTTTCTTTCCCCAGTGTTTTAACCAAAACTTACTCTGTAGCTTTGAAAACAAGAGTAGCCAACAAACTCTCCCATTCCCAACACTTTATATAAAATTAATCTGGACAGGTGCAAGACACAAAAATCTATTTTATCATTCAATCACCTTGTAAAAATATATTTTTCAGCCTCTGTAAGAGACTGAACTTCTGAGGTTTTCTTTACAGTCATATAATTTGCCCTAAAGTATGATTTGGTTGATATTCATTAATCTCTTTCTTCTTGTTTTCTCACTGTGACCACAGGCAAGTATCATACTTCTGCAAAGCTAAAGCAAAAACTACATTGCACAAAATCATTTGTTTCAATAAAATTCCTGGACACTGTGCTA